CCACCACTACCACCACCACTCACCAGATGATTGAAAGGGTCTTATATTCCCCTAGGCGTTACATAATGGTGCTAAAGGAGTTAGCTAGACTAGAAAGCACGGCGAGGAAGATGTCTCTCAATCTTTGCAGTTGCAATAATCAGCATGAAAAGTTCCTCGGTAGAAGACACTGAAAAACTACAAGCCAATATTAATAGTCTTGGATTGGGAAACAGAACATCTGATATTTAACAGTGATAAGTTCCAAGTATTTAGGTGTGTGGAAACGAGGAACTTAAAGGAAACACAGGATACAGGACACAATCAGACCTACTTGTAGAATAAAAGCAACAGTTTTTTTATTATTATTATTTTCTACCACAGACGTGGCCACACATTTACATTGCTAACCAGCATATATACATTTTCTTCTAAAGCAACAGGTAAAAGATCTGGGAATTATGATATCTGACGATCTGACATTTAGTGAACATAACCGAGCAAATATAGCGGATGCCAGGAAAATGATAGGATGGATTATGAGAACGTTCAAATCGAGAGGCCCCACAGCAATGCTAATACTGTTTTAAGTATGTCGGGGTATCTAGGCTCCGTCTCCAGAAGATGTTTAGGGGCCTGTGATAGCGGTGTTTTGCCCTCCTTGATAATTATGGAATTCCAGGAGTGTGGGCCTGGTGCAGAGTGCCTGGACAGGCTCTCTGTGGCTACCTCGAAGTCCAGTGGGGTTAGGGGTGACATCTTATGAATGGATCCATGCTGGTGTCATATTCATAAAGAATGTGTTTGGATCACAGACCTTCCGAGGTGGAAGGTCTATGATCTCCCCCCTTTCCCCTCCTCTCCCTCTCTTCCCTCTTCCACCGCCTCTGTCCTTCCCCTTCGCCTCTTCCTCCATCCCCCTTACATTTGTCAGACCCTGAATGGTGTCGGTATTTTCCCTGTCACTACCTGCCTTATTTATTGTCATGCTGTTGTCCTCTCCCACGCCTCCCTTGTCTTACGTCTTTCCTTTATGTCTATATCTTCCTTCTATATTTTCCTCTTGTCTGCCCCTCGTGTCTTAAATATTTCCCACTCTTTCTCCTATCACTTTCACGTGGCCCCCCCCCCACCCCACCCACCTTTTGTGGGCACTGTACAATGCTAAAGTGTTTATCTCGCCTTCTGTGTGTGTGTGTGTGTGTGTGTGTGTGTGTGTGTGTGTGTGTGTGTGTGTGTGTGTGTGTGTGTGTGTGTGTGTGTGTGTGTTTTCCGTCCTGGAAAAAGAACGATGCCTTTCAACAAGATTGTTAATGGGTGAGTGAATGAAAAGTTGTTGCCTGATGGAGGAGTTTGTTTATACTCGTCAGCTGTGAGGGGGAGTTCTCAGTGTAAGGCTGTGTGTGGTAGCGAGGGTCAGGTCACCGGCAGTGTTTACCTTAGTGGGAGTGGTTCCTGGTGTGTGTGTGTGTGGGGGGGGGGGGGGTTGAGCTCTGGCTATTTGGTCCCGCCTCTCAACTGTCAATCAACTGATGTACAGATTCCTGAGCCTACTGGGCTCTATCATATCTACATTTCAAACTGTGTATGGAGTCAGCCTCCACCACATCACTGCCTAGTGCATTCAATCTGTTAACTACTCTAACACTGAAAAAGTTCTTTCTAATGTCTCTGTGGCACATTTGGGTACTCAGCTTCCACCTGTGTCTGCTTGTTCGTGTACCACCCGTGTTACATAATCCCTTCTTGTCTACCCTGTCAATTTCCCCTGATGATTTTGTATGTGGTGATCTTGTCTCCCCTTCTGTCTTCCAGCGACGTGAAGTGCAGTTCACGCATACTTTTCTCGTAACTCATGCCTCTTAGTTCTGGGACAAGCCTCGTGGCATACCTCTGAACTTTTTTCAGCTTCGGCTTGTGCTTGACAAGGTACGGGCTCCATGCTGCGGCCCCATACTCCAGGATTGGGCTTACATATGTAGTATACAAGGTTCTCAAAGATTCCTTACGCAGGTTTCTAAAGGCAGTGTTGATTTTAGCTAGTCTTGCATACGCCGCTAATGTTATTCTTTTGATGTGGGCTTCAAGGGACAGGTTTGGTATGATGTAACTTAGATCTTTCTCTCTGTCCGTTTCATGCAGGACTTCATCTCTCATTCGGTATCCACAGTCTGGCCTCTTATTTCCTCTTCCTAGTTTCATTACCTTACATTTACTTGGGTTGAACTTTAGTAGCCATTTGTTGGACCATTCTTTCAATTTGTCTAGGTCATCTTGTAGCCTTATACTATCATCCTCTTTCTTAGTCGTCCTCATAATTTTTGCATCATAAGCAAACATTGAGTGAAACAAGTCTATACTCTCTGGGAGATCATTTACATATCAGAAATAGTATAGGCCCAAAGACTGATCCCTGCAGGACTCCACTGGTGATGCCTCACCCCTCACAGTGACTCGCTGTCTTCTGTTGCTTAGGTATTCCCTTATCTATTGAAATACCTTCCCTTCTACTCCTGCCTGCATCTCCTTCGTGTGTATGTATTGTGTACACACACACACACACACACACACACACACACACACACACACACACACACACACACACACATATATATATATATATATATATATATTGCAGGTCAAGAGCCCCACGTCCCGGAGATGTAAATAAGAGGAGTGTGGCAACTCTGGCCTTCAATTTGCTGTATATTTTCTCAAATGGGAAAATCCTTCTGTTTGTAATGGCTTTACGTGACAAATGGCCTACTACATCCTTCAATGCATTCTGTACAAAATTGAAAATCGCAGCAATGGCAGCACTGGCATTACCCGCGGCACTCGGGGTGCCTCCTACCCTCCCCCCCCACCCACCTGCTCTGTTATTAATGTCCGGAGGCTGGCACTCCCGTTGCGTCTTGTGCCAGTTTAGTGACCCCTCTTTTCTTGATTGTAATATTTATTTATATCCGTTTTCTTTGGTGTTATTGCCAGTCTGTGTGGCGATATGTTTTCTGTGTTGTATTGTTAGTGCTACCTGGCTGGGATGGCCATGTTTATGAAAAGTCGTACTCGGGGTCTCGCGCAGTTGTGAGCTGGGAGGTGTCCCTGGCCAGGCCACCAGACGAATACAAGTGTTGCTTTAGCCTGGAGAATGGCCCTTAACAGGTGTGAGAGGGTCGCGTGTTTTGGTACCCACCTGGGGCTAGATTCACGAAAGCACTTACGCAAGCACTTACGAACGTGTACATCTTTCCTCAATCTTTGACGGCTTTGGTTACATTTATTAAAAAGTTTACAAGCGTGAAAACTTCCCAATCTACTGTTATTGTTATAAACAGCCTCCTGGTGCTTCGAAGCTCAATAACTGTTTAATAATTGTAAACAAAACCGCCAAAGATTGAGAAAAGATGTACAGGTTCGTAAGTGCTTGCGTAACTTTTTCGTGAATCTGGCCCCTGACCTTCAGGGGGGAAGACAATGCCTGTGTGACGGAGGAGTCTGGAGCTCTTGAAGCAGTACATCGTCGTCACCACCATCGCCTCCAACCCGTCCTCCTAGGGTTTCCCAACGTCAAGAAACTGACGTACTTAAAGTCCTCCACTCCTAACGTACCAGAGGACCCAAAACAGAAAATTGGGGAGCATGTCAAACCGAGCAGATATCATTTACTAGTACAATTTTTGGTCTTTGGTAGTGTCGTGGGAGCTAAGGATCGAAGGCTCAGTTTTATAGGTAATTGTGTTTGTTCCATCTCCCTCACATGTAGGTAATTACGTTTGTTCCACCTCCCTCACATGTAGGTAACTACGTTTGTTCCATCTACCTCACATGTAGGTAATTACGTTTGTTCCATCCCCCTCACATGTAGGTAACTACGTTTGTTCCACCTCCCTCACATGTAGGTAATTACGTTTGTTCCATCTCCCTCACATGGAGGTAACTACGAGAGAATGCTTGGTACGTGAATATTCTAGTTTTATCTCCCGACGTTTAAAGGAGACAAGGGCGTGTTCGCCTTGATACAAGTGGGAATAAAGTGGCAGTTTTAAGTGTTAGCGAGGTGGCCTGGATGGTGGCGCTAGTGAAATGGGGCGGACCAGACCCGTAGAACTTGGGTTTATGGTCCGAGTTCATCGATTATACTCTTGTGTACATTTATCTGTAAAGCATTTCTCTGAAGTTTAGCCATAAGACTTGTATGTTGTGTGTGTGTTTCTGAAGGTTCAAGTACAGTTTGTGTTGGGTGGCATCTATTATCCCTGCGTGTGTTGGTGCGTATATCATGCTTTCCCAACACTTTTATATATATATGTTAATCATTAATGTAATATGAATGTGTATGTATATATTAAGATAATGAGCGTGAACCAATAGTAGGCATTCATCAGTCTCAGGAGATTATGGAGTTATGCGCTCTGGTTGTCGGTCTGGAGTGGCCTCACCAGGGCGCAAAGCCAGGGTAGGTTGATACGGGGGGAGAAGCTGTTACCCATGCAGCAGGTCCCACCCTCTCCACGGCGCCGAAAGTTATAATATTGCTTATCATTATTACCACTTCTACTTTTGTAAGATTCGAGAACGTATCCATTAAATGTTTGCGAAAATGATTTTTTGTAGGCCGTAAGGGCGTTTTAATGTTTTGGTTAAATGATATAGCAATAGACAATGTTTCCTATCGTACCTATTAATACCATGGTAATGTGAGTGGTAATATAACCATAGTGGACTCTGAGCATGTGGACCTTTCGCTGTGTGACGTCCTCGACTCGTCACTGGTGGCGCGTTCTCGTGGTTTCTCAGCCAGTCTGACCACCACGATATTGTATTGTTGTTGTTATAGATTCAGCTACTCGGAACAAGTTCCAAGTAGCACGGACTATGGTTAGCCCGTAGTGAACTTACCTGGCACAGGAGCGGGGCAGTAACTGACGATATTGTAATGTTATTATCTTATATATAATTGACTTGTGTTGGCAATATGATGTGTACATCACCTCTCCGTGACCTGTGTGAATGTTTAGGATGGCGGAAGAAATGTTCCCCCAGGACATGGTGTTTCAAGGTGCGAAATTAAATTAGAAAACTCGCGATCATGTGTGATTCGTGACTTGAACCCACTGTAGTTATGGGCGGTAAATAGCATGGAAACCATCTTTACATTACTTGACAATGAACTATGCGTCGCTGGAACATGCACTCTTCACGATTTCGTGCAAGGCTAAGCATGCACGCAGACTTGGTGTGACTTAGCGGGACGATGAGAGACATTGTGCAGGGTCAGAAGCTGCCATTTCTGGACTCCTTCAGGGAGATGGTGCTATCGGTGGTAGAGAGGCTCAAACCGGGCCTGAACCACCACCACCACCACCACAACTACCAGGAGACGGCCCTTCCCAACCTCCAGGAGGAGGAGGAGGAGGAGGCCGAGCAACAGGAGGAAGAGCAGCAGCAGCAAGAGGAGAACCTTGACAACAGACAATATCATCTACAACCCGGCCAGGTCTTGGCTGCCACGCTCACCTCCGGCCACGTGCTAGTGAAGGTTTGTCCACATCTTGAGTTATCCTCCGTGTAGGCTACTGACGTCATTATACCCCTGGACTCATTATATCCAGGAATCACTCCATCACATGTAGGGGACTGACACCCACCATCACCCTGACCTTGTATTGTGGTATGTGGTTTGTTTTGTATTTAATCTTCGGTGTTGGTATAACATCTGAAGAATGCCTTGGTGTATCGGCTAAAGAGTATCAAACTGTATGGACTGTGGTACAAGGAATGTCCCTATTGTTATAGGACTGTGTACCACCCCTCATCCTTCTGGTGGCGACTTAGGAACACTTCGGGAGAAAGAGACGACCTTGCTACGTACTTAGGGGAAACAAATGAGCATAGTCACACCTAACTTTATCCACATTGAAGCCAAAGAACTCCTCCAATATATTATTTTCCAAATGATGATATATGAATTGTTTATGATCTTGCGCCAGTTGTATATATTTTTCTATACTTGAACGGTTCAATTTAGGTTTGTGTAGTGTGTCTTAGAACCGTATCGTATAGTGTAAGTTCTTATCGCCATAGTTTTGTTAGTATTAAAGGAGCAATGTTTTTATATTTCGTCATATTGGGAATGAGAGAAATTATTACCAATTGCGGAATCCAAATTTCAGAATAGCTTCAAAAATATTTATATATATTTTTAATTAGTGTTGTGTACTTAACTGTAATAATTTTCAGACTGGGCGAAATTTTGGTTAGATATCACAACACTCCAACCTCAACCACAACTCTGCCACTACCATCACTATTAATGCTACTACCACCACCGTCAGTACAACCACCAACTCTATCACCACCACCACCACCACCATCTCTATCGCCATTACCACCACCACCACCATCTCTATCGCCATTACCACCACCACCACCACTACCACACCACCGTCACCATCACTATCACCACGACCGTCATTACTACCACATCACCACTGTTACCACCACCATCACTATCACGACCACCACGACCACCACCACCCGGGCATTATTATTCTGAGCAAAACACGATTAACAGTTCCCTGTGGCTTAATGGTTGCTGGTGTTGCAAGTGGGAATGATTCGGGTTCAAATCTTCTGAAGATGGGACAACTAGGCACCATTTCCTTCACTGTTCTTTCCTGTTCATCCAGCAGCAATTGGGGACCTGGATGTTCAGTGGTTTGGCGGATTGTGTTGTGGAGAAAACATGGTGCTAAATAACCTAACAACCACAACAAACACTAGTACAACTGCAAGCACTGCTTCAACCACCACCACAAACCACCACTACTATCACCAATCGTTACCACAAATAACATCACAACCATCATTACCACTACAATACTTCTTCCCACTACACTCTTCCCAGATGAAAGGTGTAAGGTGAAATTGTAAAATACTTTAGATGTATAACATTCAGGAGCAGTAGACCATTGTAATATCTAACCTGGAGCTTCTGATATGCATGCAGTAGTCAGATAGTTCTTATTTCCTGAGCTCTTTATGAGACCCCACTCTCTGAGTAGGCAGTAACCTTTTACTAATCCTCTCACACATTACAGGCGGCTCTGTGGGACAATGCTGAGCTGCTTGAGGACCTACTAAATGGTGATCAGTTGGCTCACCTGGACTGCAGGGATGCATGGGGCCGGACGCCACTGCATGCAGCCGCCACAACCGAGTCTTCCAGGTGCCTCCGAATCCTCCTTCAAGCTGGGGCCGATGCTAACATGGCCTCGGGACCCCGAGCCGAAGGACGGGTAAAACATGCTTCCTATTAGTTGCCTAGTGAAGTGTTGTGCTACTATTCTTTGTTGATAGTCTAGGTGTTTTGATTTCTAATTAAGAGGTGTGCCAGTACCAGTACAATATTTTAACTGATACCGGTATACTTATCTATTAAATGATACCAGTATCATACTGCAAAAAGTATGATCAAAGTAAAATATTCCGATAATGATAAACTTTTTTCTTCAGATGTTGAACTATCCCCATCTGTATATAATATATAAATATATAAATATATAATATATATATATATATATATATATATATATATATATGCGAACAAGCCTGAATGGTCCCCAGGACTATGAGTTTTCATTTTCATATATATATATATATATATATATATATATATATATATATATATATATATATATATATATATATATATATATATATATATATATATATATATATATATATATATATAATATATTCGAAGTATTGTTGAAATTTTACTGATATCGACATTTCAGAAAATAGGGTGATGTCACCGACACCAGTATATTGGCACATTTCTAATTTGCTGTATGCACTGTATTCATTTTGTATCGGTGCATATTATTACAGTATTACCAGTGTATAAATCTAATTACAGTACTGTATCATAAATTATTCTAGTTTGTTTCATAACAAGCATATTTGATTTCAAAATACATTTTCAATGGGGACTATAAAGATATTAAGTGGTATTTCTTTTTGTGCTTTATGAAACAACGCAGTCCAGAGTTCTACCCAATGACCAAAAGTATTTTTAGGAGCCACAGTAGTCCAAGTGAGGGAGCGTCCTCCGTGATTTCACAATCCGCAGGTCTATGATGAGGACAGTTATGATGACAAAGATGACAGGAATGCTATTTTTTGTTATATGACAAAGATTGCTGGGAAGACGGGACACCATGAGTGTAGCTCTCATCTTGTAACTACACTTAGGTAATTACAACATGTACTTAGAGTGGAAGATCCTGCCTTTCACAATTAGTGATCCTGCCTTTCACCACAGGAACAAAATTACACAAGTATTAAAAGAAAAAATGCAGAGTTGTTTACACAGACTTTGCAATTGATAAATTTAACTAGTGAGCGATAGCCCATAATGGATATTCAATTGCTCATCAAACAAAATAATGTCCAAGAGCTGTGTTCCCCACAGCTCTTGTGGGGGGAACACAGCATCGTCACCACATCATGTTCTGTGTTCCCCAGCTTGTGTTCCCCAGGGCACAGTCCTTGCACCACTGCTCTTTCTCATTCTTATCTCAGATAGAGACAAAAGTACAAGTCACAGCTTTGTGTTATCCTTTGCAGATAATACAAAAATCAGCATAAAAATTACTTCTATAGATGATGTTGAAAACTGGTAGCTAATATTAATGAAGTCTTTGATTGGGAAGCAGAAAACAACATTAGCAGTGATAAATTCCTGGTACATAGGAATAAACAAATTGAAGAACTTAAAACGAAATATAAGTACAAGACAGAATTCACCCATACACGGGATAACAACATGCAAAGCATCTGAGAATAATAATGTCAGACCACCTAACTTTTAGTGATCATAATAAATATATGATTAACCAGGAAAATGACAGGATAGATTACGAAAACCTTCAAATCCAGGGATGCAACTACAGGTACATTGATCCTACTTTTAAAATCACTTTTGCTTTCTCGCCTTGAGTACTGTTTGGTATTTGCTTCCACTTTCAAAGCAGGAAATATTTATGAAATAGAGGAAATACATAGAGCATATACAGCACACACTCAAATGATAAAGCACCCAAACTACAGTGGTTATCTGGAGGTTATCTTGAGATTATTTCGGGGCTTTAGTGTCCCCGCGGCCCGGTCCTCGACCAGGCCTCCACCCCTAGGAAGCAGCCCGTGACAGCTGACTAACACCCAGGTACCTATTTTACTGCTAGGTAACACTCTGCTGGTACCTCTGTTTTTTTAATTTAATTCGTCCCCAGAGACGGTTCGAAAACCGAAACGAATTTTCCCATAAGAAATAATGGAAATTGAATTAATTTGTTCCACACCCCCAAAAATATTAACTTAAAAATACATTTTATATTTACTACTACAGGGTACTTATATTTTGTACTACAGTATGTACAATTATATCTTACCGTTATTGAAGACTCTTGTTGGCATATGGAAAACAGTGAGGAAGGGGGATGAAGAGAGGTGTTTGGAAGGCGAGTCCCCTTCCATTATAACAGAAGTGATAACATTTCTAGGGTACTTTCTCTTACGTTTTGCAAGTATACCACTAGGATCTGGTTGTGGCTCACTGCTTGCTTGTCTTACTAAGAATTTGTTAATAGACACTTGTTTTTCGCTATGTTTTAACACTTGTCTGTGTTAAAAAAACAAAAAAGCACAAAAACAATGAAATTCTTCACGAAGAATTCAAGCGTGTTTGCCACTAGGCGGGAGACACTTGTAAACTGAGGCACACCACGCGGTCGGTTGGCCCATACGTGTATCAACAAAATAGAGCACTGAGGCAAACCTCTGGTACTGAGTCAAATTTTTAAGAAATTTAGCTCAAGAACCGAAAAATTTGAAAACGGGCATTCAAAAACCGAGGTTCCACTGTATTGGGACTGTATCAAAGGTCTCAAAATGCACTCTCTAGAAAGGACATTAGAAGTATCACTTAATGCAGCCCAGTTACTGGTTTGGTAACAGGGTTGTTGATTTGTAGAACCAATTACCGCGTAACGTGGTGGAGGTGGGGTCCCTCGATTGTTTCAAGCGCGGGTTGGACATGTATATGAGTGGGATTGGGTGGTTATAGATAGGAGCTGCCTCATATGGGCCAATAGGCCTTCTGCAGTTACCTTTGTTCTTATGTTCTTATCCTCCTGTCTAGATAGTACTTTTTGAAACTATGTAGACTTTTGTACATATATATTGATGTAATGGATAATTACATAGTATATTTTAATACTATTCACTTTTGAGAGTCTGGGAAAAGCCAAACTTCAATATTCTTAGACCAATTATAGCACATATGTACTATATTAGGCCTCAGATAATGTGTACAGTATTAGGCCTAGGATGGTTAGGTTAAGATAAGTTTTATTAGAAACATAAATAAAAAAAACTTTCCAGTTTGTCAAAAATTCTACTTTCTAGTTGTCCATTATGTCAATACTGTATATTGTTATTATAAGCACTATCTAAACAAGAGGATGGGCTGCTTAAATACTGGAAGGCCAGGTCCCAAATTTTCACAGTAAAATAACATACTGGAGCAAAAAAATATGGTAGGAAATGCAGAATAGACCTGGTGAAGAGCAGGGGTGCCATAGGTACAATTAGAGAACACTGTATGACCATCAGAGATTAATCGCTATTCAATATCCTTCCAGCAAGCATAACAAAATATTGCTGGTACAAAAGCAGAAATGTTCAAGATGAAACAGAAGTTCTGGACCAACCAGGTTGTAGTGGATGTGTGGGTCTGTGGGCAACAGCCTGTTGGACCAAGTTATCACAAGTCAAGCCTGGCCCCAGGCTGGGCTTTGGGAGTAGAAGAACTCCTAGAACCCACTCCTGGTATATTTCAGGCCTCAACCCTGTAGTCAGAAGCAAAATGGGGAAAGCTGAAAGCAAAGAAAGGACAAGAACATCAACACATGACTTAAAGATCAAGGAGGTTCTGGAGGAGCACGAGTCATCTGGAGATGGGAAAATGCAAGACACCTAGAGAAATGTGAGCGAGTCCTATTTGAGACCAGGTTTTGGCACCTGGTCCGCAATAGGTGATACTCTGAATTTCCAAGGACTGGTGTGGCATGATACATGCAGAGCTATCCTGGCAGCTAGCACCGAGGAGCTGCCAAGAAACCCACCAGAAAACGATGTTTCATTACATTCAATGCTGAATTTTTATGCATTTTATTTCGTTTTAAGTGTAACTGGAGCTAGGAATGTGTGAGAGGTCATTTGAAGTACAATATTGTACTGGGACTATTAGGTTGAAAGTATAACTCATGACTAAGGGGCAGTTAGCAATTACTATACTGTATGTGTATCATTTATTGTATCATGAGTATCTTTATACAGTATTGTACTTCTTTCCTTACATTGCCCTCATAATTTGGTAATAATGATGTGTTTCAGACTTGTCTGCATATAGCCTCAGAACATGGAGCAGTGGAGAACATCCGCTTGCTGCTTGACCATGGTGCTGACCTTTTGGCTAAGGATGCCAATGGACTTACAGCCTTAGACTTGGCAGAGCAGGGTGAACACACACAGTGCATGACCGTCCTCAAAAATGCTGCAGGTGCGTTGACAAATGTTGATTTACCTCTGGCTATGATTTTTTTTTATTGATAATACTAAAGTTTAATTAGGGGATAAAATTTTTGTATACCTTTGGCTTACCTCTTATGTTACGGAATCACATCTACGTCATTCATTAAATTTACCTGAATTTACCCGAGGGCCACCAACACTAGTGGCCTCGATGAGCACAGGAAGCCAGTGGCTTTTCAAAGGTCTAGGTTCGGTCAATGGTCAAAAGGTTTGGTTTGGTCAAAGGTTCGGTTCATTTTTTTTACTGCTGCTCCCACTTGTTGTGCAACTTTTAATGAAAGATGGATTCTGATGCCAAGGTCATTTTCTTCATCTATCTGTTGTAAGGTAGTGTTGTCAGTTTGGTAGTTGCACCCCACATGTAAGACCTTACATTTATCTACATTAAAAAGCATTTGCTAGTCATCTGACCATTTGTGGAGTTCATGTATTTCTCTTTGTAAAGTCTAAATATCACCTTCACTTCAAACTTTAACATAGATCTTAGTGTCATCTGCAAATTTGATGATGTGGTTGTAATATTCTCATAAATGTATGTATGTAATACCAGTACTGTAGTTTGATTGTATATTTACATTCTGCATTTGGTTGGTGTGAGATATCATTTTGGGGGGTTAAAAACTGTTACTGCTAGGCTGACCCCTCCTAAGTAGCTACCCTTACGCTTAAACACTGGTACTGTACCACTAAGTCTTCAAATCGTACTAAGCCCGGGACTTTTGTAGGTCTATTAGGAACCAGGACCAGAATTTGGCTTGCATAACGGAGTGAAGGGGAGTATGGGGACCATAGTTCTATCTTAAAACTGTTCAAAAAATATTTGTAAAGCAAAGCTAAGCACTACTAGAAAATGATAAATAAAATTAGGAAAAGATACAAATGATATTTGGCAGTGGATGGGCAAACCAGATGACTTTGGGTCCTGATAAACCACCCACTTTGCTGGTGCACTGCCAGTATTGGGTCCTTGCTTGGATCTTATTGATGCTTACTGAAACTAATTATTGGTGTTTTGTGGGATTATTGTTCCTTGCAGGACTACTGATTTGTAATTTTTTTTTTAATATATGATTCTTGAATTACCTACTGATTACCTGTCAATAATTCTGAGGATAAATGTCCCCGCAGCCCGGTCTCCAACCAGACCGCCTGGTTGGTGGTCTAGTCAATCAGCTGTTAGATGCGACTGCTTGCCTTTTGGTCTCATGTGATATTATTCAAAATCTGCACACAGAAATCAGTCCTTCTAGTATTTTCCAAGTGTAAATTATATATCTCTCCCACCTGCACTCTAGGGGATACAGATTTCAAATTTGTGAGCAGCCCAATAATTTCTATGTTTTATTGAGTAGCTTCTAGCAGAAAAAGCTCTTTGCATAGTCTCCAGGTCAGCAATTTCCCCAGCTTGGATTGGAGCCGTTAGTGTGCAACAATATTCTAGTCTAGAGAGCACTAGTGTCTTAAAAAGTATCATCATTGGCATGGCATTTCCTGTTTGAAAGGTACATGTTATCCAACCTGTCATTTTTCTTGCAGTTGTGATGGCTACTTTGTCATGTTTATAAGAGTAAAGTCTTCCAAAATGGTTACTCCTACTCTAACATGAATGATTCTCTAATCAGAATTATCTTTTTTGTGGAGTTGGAGTTACTTCCCTGCAGATCACCCCATATAGAGTTGCCTTGCTTTCAGGTAGAGCTTAGGATTTTTATCACCAATGGGAGATTCTTTGCTTGCTAATGTGTGTTAGCAAACCTCCAATCAGATGTAGATCAGGTCTTTCTGTGGGCTACAGAAAATAATATGGTGTTTAACGAAGATAAGTTCCAGCTCATGCGCTACGGAAAAAATGAAAATAAAAAAACGGAAACCACGTACAAAACTCAGGCAAATCATAACATAGAACGAAAAGGCAATGTATAGGATCTGGGTGTACTCATGTTGGAAGACTTTACCTTTAAAGAACACAATAAAGTAGCCGTCACAACTGCAAGAAAAATGACGGGCTGGATAACAAGAAATTTTCACACTAGAGATGCTATACAGTACCGATGATGATTCTTTTCAAAACGCTAGTGCTCTCTAGAGTGGAATACTGCTGCACAATGACAGCCCGTTTCAAAGCTGGAGAAATTGCTGACCTGGAGAGCGTGCAGAGATCCTTTACTGCTAGAATCCACTCAGTAAAACATCTAAACTACTGGGACCAACTAAAGAGCCTAAATCTGTATTCCCTTTAACACAGGCGGGAGAGATACATAATAATTTACATGTGGAAAATAGTAGAGGGGATGGTCCCAAACATGCACACAGAAATAACATCACATGAGACCAGGAGGTATGGCAGGATGTGCAGAATACCCCCATTGGAAAGCAGAGGTGCAACAGGTACTCAGAGAGAGAACTCTATCAACATCAGAGGCCCGAGACTGTTCAACACGCTTCGACTACACATAAGGGGCATAACTGGCTGACCCCTCACAGTGTACAAGAGAGAACTGGATAAACACCTCCAAAGGATACCTGATCAACAAGGCTGTGATTCGTACGTCAGGCTACGAGCAGCTGCATCCAACAGCCTGGTTGACCAGTCCAGCAACCAAGAGGCCTGGTCGACGACCGGTCCACGGTGATGCTAAGCCCCGAAAGTACCACAAGGTAACCTCTAGGTAAGGTAAGGTGTTGTGCCTTGCCTTGACTCTTGTGTGTTTTCAGATCTTGCACTTTAGCTAAGTTTGTGTTTGGGTCACATTGTGATTCTCATAGTTTTGTACAACTTTCCTCATTATCTAATTCTCAGGACCAGGTGCTTGGTTAGCTGACAATGTTTACCATTCTCCTGGCATGTCTGCCCATTTTTAACTGCCCAAGCAGCCCATTCCCATGTATCAGGAAGTTTTATTATCTCAGCTTCTCTATTGGTTGGGTTATGCTGGATCTCCCACCCAATTTAAAGCTAGAATTTTTGCTATTGTCTTCTCTGGCTGTTTCAGATTTTTTTTTTTTACTTCGTTGGATATTCCCATTATTCTACTATATATGTTTCTATTTTTGGGTTCAGCGGTACTTCATTCTTAGGTGTGCAATATTTTTTGTTGTTTGGCTTCTGTGTGAGCTGTTGCTCGCTGGCATTGTCAGGATGCCTTGAGAGTATGTGCTGTGGCCTTTTCCCTTATAGCAACAGTTGTTTGCTTCCCGCCCTTGTTCTTTAATGTTTCATAAAATATTAGCATTTCTTCAATGATTGGTGGTTTATACCAGTGTTTCATTCTAGTAATTTGTTCCACCATCACAGGTGAGTGTGTTTACATTTCTGTTGTGGTTGCTTCTCTGGGTGGTGGTAGGCTTTGCTCAGATCCTTCCTCTTGTTTACTTCTTCATTATTGTTGCCCCCTTGAATTGATGCCGAGTGCCATGGAAATTTTGGTGTTAGCTACCATTGCAATCCTCTTTGCTGATGGCCTGGTTGGCCTTGAAGGGCTTTCTGTGTCTTAAGATGATGTGCATGTGTTGTTTGGTTGCAAATGATGGCAGCTGATGTGGGTTTTTTCTACTCTTTGTGATGGATTTGGCCTCCCTGCATATATCTCTTCTTGGTGTTATGGATGGCATTCTGCTTGTGCTTGAATGGAGCTTTGTATTTTCTTTCTCTTGGAAAATTCTTAGAAAATTTCTTCGGCCATTCTAAATGTATTTTCGTTCTCCCTTATTGTTTCAGAATCTTCCTCCATTTTCTTTCCTTCCAGTCTAGTCAACCATCTCATTGAGATGGCTTCCCACTACTGGGTCCCATCAGTCATGGAAGTTCTATTTGGCTTTCTGGGGACCAGAGCCAAGACCAGTCCTAGGGTTGTTGGCACCCTGGGCAGGCTGAACTTTGGTGTCCTTACAAATACAATTTAAAAGAATTGTCACAAGGAGAAAAATGGCAAATGTAGGAATAAAGAATTTATTACAATACAGTATATAAGTTAAAGAAAACAGTTCGAACTGTGTATGGAGCAAACTGTGTATATTCTAGCTTTCACCTACTTTTACTTAATTTGAATTGTTTTTCACAGTTTGATCACCGTAACAGAAAGAATTAATAATCCATCTCAAAAATCTTTCTCCACAAGAAATTTTAGCATTTTGGCTTATTTCTTTTTGTTTAATATTTTCAAATTTTTCCTTTGTATTTGGAAGATCCCAATCACATGACGTAGTACCCTCTAGCACGTGGCACCCCAGGCAATTGCCTGAGTGGCTTGTACTTGACCAGAGCCAGAACCTGGCACCCTCACAGAGGTGCAGAGTGTGGGGACGTAATATTGTCTCCCCACTGAGAAAGCATCCAGAAAGTCAGCGAAGCTTTGCAGACTTTACACCAAGGTTCATAGAAAGCAAAGTGGCAAAACAGCCAAATGGCTCCATGGACTATTAAGGCAAAAATAAGCAATTCAGTGTAGCTAGAGTAAATTCATTTGTACTGATATCCTCCATCCTGCAGCCTAAAGCCCCTGCAGACAGCCGACTCCATGCCCAGAGAGAGAGAGAAGATTAAGCCACCCAAAAGGTGGCTTGGGCATGAATAGCCCATAAGTGGTGGCCCTTTTGAGCCATTTCCAGTATCAATAAATGATACTGGAGACCTGTGGAGGTGCGACTGCACCCTGCGTGACGGGAGATGTCTCCCGTCAGCATGCCCAGTCTAAGAGTTGATGTAGTGGTGTAACATTGCATACTAGTGGTTTCCTTGGTCTTCATCAGTTATGCAAGCCCTGCTGCTGCTTAGACTATGTGCCGGCCATCCTTTGGACTTCAGATGTTGCAGGGGCCTTTTTTTTTTTTTGTTTTTTTTTTTTTTTTTTGGCATATGCTTCATATTCATGTTTTCTAGGTTGGAGGAGTGGACATGGTTCGTCTTGAACTTTTTGATGCATGAGCTTGGGGTTCCCTTCCCTGGGTGCTTGTTTAGCACTGCCCCAG